AACCTGGCTAGGGGTTTCATAGAGCCGGCGCGCTCTAAAATAGCAGCACCCGTAATATTTCAGGGGAAAAAGGACGGAGGATTACGGTTATGCGTCGATTTCAGAGGGCTTAACGCGGTATGCGTAGAACCCATATACCCACTACCTCTCATGAAAGACCTCCTTGCCCACTTGGCCACTGGCAAGATTTTCACAAAATTAGATCTTCGTGAGGCATATTATAGGATACGGATTAGGGAAGGAGATGAGTGGAAAACCACCTTTAACTGTCCATTAGGGAGCTATCAGTTTAAGGTGATGCCTTTCGGACTACAGGGGGCTCCGGCTGTATTCATGCAGTTAATTAACGAAGTGTTGCATGACCATCTTTACAGGGGTGTACTTGTATACTTAGATGATATACTCATATACTCGCATACACTGGAAGACCACATACGATTAGTTCGAACGGTGTTGAGAAAGTTACTGGATGCCAAACTATACTGTAAAGTATCAAAATGTGAATTCCACAAAGACCGTATTGATTATTTAGGATTCCGGGTGTCTGCGATGGGAATAGAAATGGATCCTAATAAGATACGTAGTGTATTAGAATGGCAAGCCCCAAGAACTCGTTGCCAATTACAGCGGTTTTTGGGGTTCGCTAATTTTTACCGTCAGTTCATACCGTTCTTCGCTGATGTGGCTCTACCTTTGACTCAGTTATTACGGACTAAGCAAAATGCTGGAAAACCCCGGCCATAACAACCGTTGGAATGGACCATGGCATGCCAACAGGCCTTTGAAAAGTTAAAAAGCTTGTTTGCACAGGAGCCGGTGTTGGTACATCCTGACCCGGATAAGCCCTTTATTGTACAGGCTGACGCTAGCGATGTAGCCGTTGGCGCTATTTTATTGCAGCGTAATGAGAAAAACATGCTACAACCGTGTGCCTACACTTCCAAAAAATTCACTGAAACAGAACGACGTTGGGCAGTGTGGGAAAAAGAGGCATTCGCGGTGAAATGGGCATTGTCCACCTGGCGCCATCTGTTGGAGGGGGCTCAGCATCCCTTCGAGGTCTGGACAGATCACCAGAACCTAACAGTGCTTCAAACACCAAGAAAACTAGCGCCTAAACACGTCCGATGGGCACAGTACTTTCAACGGTTCAAGTTCTGTTTAAAGGTTGTCCCGGGTGGAAAGAACTTTCTAGCAGACGCACTCTCCCGAATGCCCCAATATGATAGCAAGAGAGAACAGGTGATCCAGGCTGTCATACCTCAGTGTGATAGGGAGTCCGAAAAGGTAGAAGTCTGCACAAAACTAGCAACTTTTGAAGAAGAAATAAAAACAGCTTTAGTAACCGATCCTTGGATATCAGCAAATCCCGGTATACTGACCCATCGTAATGGTTTGGCCTGGTATGGAGATAAGTTGTATATCCCTCAGGAACTGCGGAGCCGGGTATACCATCAATGTCATGACTCCAAAGTAGCAGGTCACTTTGGCTTTGTAAAAACATTACACCTAGCAAGACGGCGATTCTGGTGGCCAAGCTTAAGAAAAGATATTGAAACATACGTAAAAAAATGTAGAGTTTGTGCACAGGCAAAGGTAATACCTAAGAAGCCAATGGGATTGTTACAGTCAGTGTCTGATCCAGTACGGCCATGGCAAGACATTGGCATGGATTTCCTTGTGGAGTTACCAAATGTAAAAGGTTACACACTTATATGGACAGTGATAGACTTATTTTCCAAGCAGGCCCATTTTATACCCTGCAAAGGGCTGCCGTCTGCAGCGCAACTAGCGAAGCTATTTGTACAACACATTTATCGATTACGTGGAGCTCCCCGACGAATCATCTCAGACCGCGGGGTTCAATTCACGGCTCGATTCTGGCATCAATTTCTAGCTTGTATTGGAACCACCCAAGGGTTGAGCTCCGCATACCATCCATGTACCAACGGGGCAGCGGAACGAGCCAATGCAGCTGTTGCACGATATCTCCGTTGCTATGTATCTCACCAACAGGCGGATTGGATGGAGTATATACCCTTTGCTGAACTAGCTTATAACAATGCAGTACATAAGAGTACCGGGTTGACCCCCTTTCAGGTAGTATATGGCTACGATCTGAATCCCATATCAAGTTGTGAACCACTGACTTCCCTGGCCCAGAAGCCAGGGGACTGGATGTCCCATGCTAGCCAAGTGTGGCATACAGTAAAGAAAGCGCTGACACAGGCGGGACAAATAGCAAAGGAACAGGCAGACAAGGGCCATAGAATATCAACCCAATTCCGAATAGGTGACCAGGTATATCTTTCGACCAAATATCTTAAGTTACAGGTATCCTGCAAGAAGTTGGCGCCGAAATACGTGGGTCCATTTCGCATAATACGGATCATTAATCCTGTTACGGTACAACTCCAACTGCCGGTCTTCCTTGGTAGAATACATCCGGTCTTTCACGTGAGTTTGTTAAAGCCGATAGGAAGGGACAGTCATACGGATCCTCCTGGACCTGTAACACCGGGACAGTATGAAATACAGGATATCGCGCGTCTGAGGGTTGATTTGGACTAATCTGCTGTTTTCGGAAAACCAGGATGCTGGGTCTGACAGACATGAGGGCGTGGTGTGGGCGGAGTGGTAATTGGTGATTAGGGTGTGGACTATGGGTGTGGTGGCGGGGCTTATTTAGCGTGCTGGAATAGGAAGCTTCCCAGAGCTGACTTTCTCTTCAACGTAGCAACGTAATAAACCAAACGACTTCGTTGAATCCTGCATCGTTCCTAATTTATGGGTTTCGTGCCTGTAGTTAGGACGAGCTTACAGGATGATTGTGGTCTATGCCACACAGTCTCTTCATAAACCTTGGATATAGATCTATAAACTCATCCACTCTTTGAGCCATTATGTTTCTTTCCATCTAGGATTCCTGCTATACTTCATTCCCTTTCTAGGGTGACTTTTGTCCCTGTGATTTATGATTTAACATCTATAACCAATTAAGGTTATCTACATGGGGCAGATATTGGAGAGAGCGTCATAATCTTAGCTACATGGTGATTAAACATTGGTCAGAGGGACAGGAGGAAGGCCAGAATATCCTGTGCTCAGACACTGAGTACCATAACTCCAAGTGGCAACTTTGTTGTGCAAAAGACCTGATTCTTTAGGGATTCTGTAAAGGCCACCTCCTTCCACATGAATCTGCCTCTTTATCTATGATAATCATCAGAACCTAATGTTAGATTGATGAGATAGACTCTTTTCAGCAGTAAGATCCAACTGGAGAAACTCCTTGCTGGAAAAGGTGTTTTTGAGTTTCTTTTTACTTGCTCTAGTCTAGATAAACAACACAAACACTTATATCCCACTCGACATGAAATGCTGCATGATGCTTCAGGTCTTTCCATTTTGATGGTAATCTGTGCTCAGATTATATTGGACGGTATAGTTCAGTGACGGCGAACCTTTTAGAGACCGAGTGCCCAAAACCCGCCCCGCCCCCTGCTCCGTTCCCCTCCCTGCCCGCTCCACCCCACCCCACCCGTTCCACCCCCGCCCCACCCACCTGAAGGGCCACCCACCGCTTCCACGGCCTGCTGCAGATTGCCCAGGCAGCCCAGCAGTGCCATGGCAGCCACGTCCTCCGCCCGTGTCCCACAGCATCAACTGTGCGTGACAGGCTGTGAGGGTGGAGTCTTATCTCCGATTGCCATGTCCTTGGCTGTGCTGCTCTGTGTGGGCCGCACTCGGGGGCGACTCTCCTCCAGGGGGGCTGCTGGTGGGAGGGCTGCAGGGGGAAGTGGGGCTGGGGCAATGGCCCATGTGTCCACAGAGAAGGCTCTGAGTGCTGCCTCTGGCACGCGTGCCATAGGTTCACCACCACTGGTATAGTTATTTGCTGATAAATGTCTATATTTTATTTTTAGGTTTTATTTAGGGTTGGGTTGTTTTTTTCCAAAAAATAAAAAATTATACAGGAAGTTCTGTAATTTATGGGCTAGTCACTGTTTTTCAGATCGACTCATCTGCAGAGATATTATTATGGGGATAAAATGTTCTGGGAGAAAAGCAGGAAGTGAATGATACTAATAATAATAACAACAGCAACCTTGGCTTTTTTATGACTCGTGGACTTCAACTCGCAGAGTTCCTGAGCCAGCCATGCTGAAAAGAAAGGGAGAGGTTTCCATGCTGAGCCATGCTAACTCAGGCATTCTGGGAGTTGAAATCCACGAGTCATAAAATAGCCAAGGTTGCCTACCCCTGGTCTATATTCAGTCGCTAATTTGTTATTATGACACTCATCTTCACATATTGAACAAGCTTAAATCGGTCCAGGCCTTCTAGGTATAAATCTTGGATGCCAACTGTATTAAAAATTCAGCATACATTAACTGAAAATGGAAACATGTGAGCTTTCTTATTTGTTGGCTTTTTGAGGCTTTGTGAAAGTGCAGTTCTGCAGCCTAAAACTTCTTGGAACAAATGCCTTTTTTTTTTGTGAGCAATTTCTGCATATGGTGCATTCCTGCTCGTATTAGTCTCACTTTAGAAATCATTTTTGAACGGGGCTCAACACTCTGCTTTTCTGTCTCTTTGCATTTGGACATAAGCCAGTAAATTAGCACAGGGCATTAATTTTATTGCCGGGTAATTTATTTAGTCAGTAAAAAGGTTGCAGTTGTTTTTGTAAATTTATTTGCTCTGGCAATCTATCTCGTTATGAAAGAGAGCGGAATTTAGCCGTCATGGCAAATAAATAGTTCACTGAATGTTTGGTGCCGATAATTTTCCATCATGATGTAAAACTTCACGGGGCCTAAAAAGGTAATAAAATCTAAGATGTGTTGCCATTTTATGTTTTGTTTTCATAATGGGACAAGTTTACTTGTTCAAATCCGTAGCAAGACAGATCTAAATCTTATTATGTTAACCTAACAGTGAGATGTGCAGCATCTGAAGCCGGATATAATTAATTCATTTCCTTTTACCTTTTGTAGCCTTTCCGTTGTGCTCACTGCCATTATTCCTGCAACATATCTGGTTCCCTCAAAAGGCATTATAACCGGAAACATCCCAGTGAAGAGTACGTTAATGCAGGCTCTGGTGAATTTGCAGCTGAAGCCCTTCTCCAGCAAGGTAATCTGTCTTTTCTGAAAGCACAGAGACTTTCCTTTCCATTAACCTGTGGTTACTTTTCTCACAAAGAGGATATTTTGCAGTTGTTGCCTGAGTTAGTTTTTCCTCTGATAAATGATGGCTTTCCTTCTCCTTCCCTCTCTATGGAATGACTTTGAGCTTCATCTCCAAGAAAGAAAAATGGTTTAAGTTGAAACTGATAAAAAACATGAATGAGAATTCTAATATGGTGTTGTTCTTCACCGGGGGAAAAATAAGCCAAGTTTATTTCTGCGTTTTCATATGAAACATCTGAAAGGAGCAACAGTCTAATTGGCCATATATGGGTTGGGTTGGGTTAGGTTGAGTTAAGCTAGGCTGGGCTGGGCTGGGATGAGTTGGGTTGGGTTGGGTCAGTAACGCTGAGTTGGGTTGGATGAGTTGGCTTGGTTGAGTTGAATTGGGTTTGGTCCGGCATCTCCAAACCTGAACATGGAAATCAACTTCCATCAATCTCTGGCCTGCGAATCTCACCAGCTTTGATTTCTGTTTATTTTCTATTTTTTTAAGAGAATATATATAGTCATCCACTCACTCTCAGTGACTCTGGACCACTTACGAAAAACAGTTGAAACAATAACCCCCACCCGCCTTGCGACAACGGTCAATCAGATTTGATAAATCCTTTGGGATTGTACAAAATTTGGGAGAGATATTTTGCTTCAATCATTCCTTCTAACAAAGCACTATCTGTCTGTTCAAAATGAGGTGACACCTGGCCTCTCACCACTTGACAGAGTCACAATCTTGTTAAAGCAACTGCCTCCCTGGCCTTCAACTGTCTACTTCAAGGGTCAGAGGTCATTTCTATCAAAATGAAGTGTCCTGCCTAAAATGCATCTGATTGTGTAAGTGTGACATGTGATTCATTACAAGAAGTACTGACCAGATCAGGGGTAGGCAACCTTGACTCTTTTATGACTCGTGGACTTCAACTCCCAGAATTCCTGAGCCAGCCATGCTGTGCTGGGGAATTCTGGGAGTTGAAGTCCACGAGTCATAAAAGAGCCAAGGTTGCCTACCCCTGGACCAGATCTTTATGAATGTGGCCTGAAGTTAGAATCCTGATTAGTTACCGTATATTCCGGCGTATAGGGCAACCCAGCGTATAAGACGACCCCCGAGTTCGGCACCGAGTCGCATGCCTAGAAAGTCATCTTATACGCCGGAAACTACCATGATTTCCGGCGTATAAGACGACTCGGCATATAAGACGACCCCCGACTTCGGCGCCGATTTCAACGCTCTCAAAAGTCATCTTATTCGCCGGAAAGTACGGTAACTCTCTTTTGTGAAGCTCCCTGGGCCACATTCATTTCAAATTTCATTCCAAAACAGATTTACTTCCTAGAGATGTAAAATTAGCTGGACCTTCTTCCAAACAGAGAATTGAGCATCAAAAAATTGGCCAGACAGATGGCACATGAAAAAGAAATACTTCTTTTTTTTTTTTTGGACATCAAAATAAGTTTTTTTTTTTTTTAAAGAGAGAACAGTAGAGTATTCAAATGTAATCTCTCAGGAAATTGTCTTTCATTTCTTAACGGACACTGTGCTGCTGTGCAGTTTGGCAGCCTGGCCATACAATCAAATATCTCGCAAGGTATGAAATGGATTTAAAAGATCCAGGACATCACAAAAGAATGCAACATCCCTGCCAATGCAGAAATAAAGGTCTCCAATTTAGATTGTGGTGTCTTAATTTGAAACACTTGGTCCGTTGAGCGAGATGACTTTTCTTATTTTATTTCTGACTGTTTCCACGTTATCTTTCCACTTTGAATGGATGTTATGTAAAACTCTCTTTCCCCATTTAAAAGCAGCTTGGGAGGATTTAAAATTTCCCCCGTTTTGTTACACTAGAATAGATGCCAGCATAATGCAAGGCTGCTCTGAGTAATGAATAAAACATAATTTTCCCAAGCATGACATTTTAAAGCATTGCCAAATTATTCTTTCTTCTTTGCTGGTTTTTTTTTTCTCCTCCCCAAAGAATTTATGTCTATAAGAAGCATGAATCTATGTTTCAGCCGCATGGAAATGGGGGTACGAGACAAATGTGTCGAGGAATTTGCATTGAGTTTTCCTTCCAGTGTCAAAGAAATTTGAGCAAGACAGATTAGCATAAAATATATGGGAGGCTATTGAGAGTCCTGGCCATGGTTGAGAATAACAAGAGTTTATGATGACTTCATAGAGGGATGTGTTTATCACAGTATGTGCTAGGAAAGCAAGTTGCTCAGGTAATATGAAGTACAGATAGTCCTCAATGTACAACTATTTGTTTAGTGACCATTTGAAGTTACAATGGCACTGAAAAAGGGGCTTATGACAATTTTTCACACTTAGCCACCATTGAACCATCCCTGTGGTCACATGATCAAAATTCAGCTGCCTGGGAACTGTCATGAATGTATGACAATTGCAGTGTTCCGGGGTCACATGATCCCCTTTTGTGACTTTCCGATGAGCAAAATCAATGGGGAAGCCAGATTCTCTTAACAACTGCAATGACTTAACAACTGTGACCAGAAAGATTGTAAAATGAGGCAAAACTCACTTAATCACCGTCTTGCTTTGGGCTCAATTGCATTCGTAACTTGAGGACTACCTGTACATGATCCAGCTTGGGACTTGGTTACAGGGAGGAGGAATTGCTTTGTTGATTCCTTCCTACTTGCAAGATATATCATGTATCAACAAACAGTATATACCGTTATAGTGCTGCTTTTTGACGAATCCCAAGTTTTTAGAAGTTTATTGAATGAGATATCATGATAGACATATGGATGATGCCATCTTTGGAACAGCTTTCTCCATGAGTCCTCTTAGAACATAGAATAATAGAATTGGAAGGGACTTTGGAAGTCTTCTAGTCCAATCCCCTCCTAACCCTAACCCTATACCATTTCAGAAAAATGGTTGTTCTTGAAAGCCTCCAGGGATGCGATACTCTTTATTCCAACCCACCTGGGATTCAGGAAAGCCAGCCAACTCTAGTTGTTTTAGCAGGCCTTGGGGTGGACCTGTGCTAAAGCTGTTTCCTTTTGAAGTAGAATGCTCCTTTAATTGCATTTTAATTGTTCCCTGGTGCATTGTGGATGCTGTCCTTCGTTATATTGATTGCTAACGCATTCTTTTTTTAACCTTAGTATGGATGATGTTGCTCGGAGGCAGCAGCAACTGAATCAGCACTATAAGCCCAGGAAAATAAAATATTATAAATAGAAGTAGCATACTTATACAAGTATTCCTCGACTTAGGACAGTAATTGAGCGTACAACTTCAGTCATGAGACATGATGGTCGTTAAGTGGCTCACCATGTGAGCAGACCAGATTGTCAACGCTGCTAACATGGGATGTTTTTGCTTTGACAACAGTTAGAGATGCAACCATTTTCTTCTTAAGTTTTACTTTGAGAGTTAGAGTTAGAATTAGATAATGCTGGGGAGAAGAACGTGCATGAGAGTTTAGCTAGACATAACAATGCTGGACCTAGTGTGTGAACCAAGGTTATTGAAATAAGAGATGATAAGAATTGGCAGGTTGGAGAACAGGAGAGAAAGCTTACATTTCAAACTAATTGGAGAATGTGATTTATGACTGTTAATTGGAGGAGGGAATTGTGCTTTGATACTAAGTGCTGAGGGGAAGGGAATTCAGTTTTTGGTTAGACTGTGTTAGTGACGATGTTATGCTTCTCTAATAAAAATTCTTTAAGGTAAACAGTGCCTCAAAGTTCTTTGAAGAGTTTCATCTGTCGGAACCACGACACAAATTTTATAACCATTTTTTGCTACCATCCTTAAGCAAACACTGTAATTGTCAGTTGAAAACCACGTTCACTAGGGGACTTTTTTTTTTTTGGCAGAAACTGAAAGTAAATACGAGTTTCCAGCCAAAAAAAAAAAAGTCATGGATCTCAGTCACATGACTATCAGATGCAGGCTGTAGCCGCCCATAAATGCAGGCTAGTTGTCCACTGTTCAAAAGATGGTCACATGACCCCAGAGAGGAAGCCAGCCATCAGAACTTTGAATCCAGGTGATTCGGGGTCTATCATAACTTCATACAGTCGCTAAGCAACCGGTTGTAAGTCGAGGATTACCTGTTTTCATTTTGGCTAAATATGCTATACGAATCAAACTACTGTGGTTTAATATGCTGTGTAGAGAAGAGGTCCCCATCTTTTGGGGCACCAGGGACCGGTTCCGTGGAGAGAGGTTTTTCCGTTGACCGGAGAAGCAACGGATGGAAACTAATCAAGGAGAGAAGCAACCTAGAACTAAGGAGAAACTTCCTGACAGTTAGAAGAATTACCGAATATGCCGGCGTATAAGGCGACTTCTGCGAGCGCTAAAATCGGCGCCAAAGACGGGGGTCGTCTTATATGCCGAGTCGTCTTATATGCCGGAAATACTTGTTTCCGGCGTATAAGACGATGTTCTAGGAATGCAGCTCGGCGATAAAGACGGGGGTCGTCTTATACGCCGGGTCGCCTTGTACGCCGGCATATACGGTAACCAGTGGAACAACCTGCCTCCAGAAGTGGTGAATGCTCCAACACCGGAAGTTTTTAAGAAGAGACTGGACAGCCATTTGTCCAAAATGGTATAGGGTTTCCTGCCTGAGCAGGGGGTTGGACTAGATGACCTCCAAGGTCCCTTCCAACTTTATTGTTGTTATTGTTGTTGTTGTTGTTATCTGCCAACCTGTTTTTACCTTACCCCTGAAAGAAAACAGTATGACTATAATATCGGTCACAATATATAGATAGGTTTGTACAGTGAAGTTCAAATCGCTTTAAATATAAGCCACCCTATATAGCAAACCCATAGACTCTCTTGGGGTTCCAGCTACAGATACAGGCATAAATACTGCACTGTTTTCAGTAAGTATCTCCATGGCATCCTTCGCATTTTCCTCTTCCCAGATTTGAGCAGTCAGGAATTTGTAAAACAAAGTTGTGTTCCTGCAGCTCTCCCTGCATTAATCCTCAGAATATATTTTCAGTCCATCCTGCGAAATATAAATGAAATCATTTCCAAAGGGCCATTTTTTTAGGAGTCTGGGTTGGCAGGAAATTGAGCTGCCTCGCTGTTTCAGAAAAGAGAAATCCTTCAATTTTATGTGTACTTCAGTGTCAGAAGCAGATAAGGTACGCCATTTAGTGACCTTTTGGCTCTATATTGCCACACCAGTTAATGAATTGAAGAGAAATTAATTTTCTTCAGCTGTGATGTCAATTAATCGCCCTGCCGAATATGCCAGTGGCTCAATGGCATACTTTCATTTGTTGTTCCTTAATTAAAGTCAGAGTGACAAAGGTGGCTATTTTAATTAACTGAGTGTTATTGTTGCAGTTATTTTAATTTAAAAGAAAGAAGGCAAAAGTCTCCCTTCTAATTGAGTTTTTATTAAGAGGGGAATATGGAATGAATAGTTTAATTCGGGTTTTTGTAACTGGTGATGCCTTTGTCCTGTATCAAGAGTCATGTGCTGTGGCATATAAAGGCATTTAACAGAGAAGCATGTCCAGCTTAAAATAAAATCAGGGAGATGTCTAACAGGTTTAAAGGTAGTAGTGGTGGAGGTCCTAGAAAATCAGAAAAATACAGAAAAAAATGCAGAAGAGTTGGAAGGGACCTTGGAGGTCTTCTAGTCCAACCCCCTGCTCAAGAAGGAGACCCTTTACCAGGGGTAGGCAACCTTGGCTCTTTTATGACTTGTGGACTTCAACTCCCAGAATTCCTGAGCCAGTATGGTTCAGCATGGAAACCTCTCCCTTTCCCCTCAGCATGGCTGGCTCTGGAATTCTGGGAGTTGAAGTCCACGAGTCATAAAAGAACCAAGATTGCCTACCCCTGCCCTATACTGTACCATTTTAGACAGGTGCCTGTCCAGTCTTTGAATCCTTGAAGACCAATAAATTTCAGCAAAGAACCTAATTTTTACTTAGTTTTTCCTAAATGAATTAGCAGGAGTACCGGCACTTCTCGACTTACGACCACGATAGAGCCCAAAATGTCTGTCGCTAAGCGAGGCATTTGTTAAGGGAGCTTTGCTCCAGTTTACGATCTTTCTTGCCACATTTGTTAAGTGAGTCCCCGCAGTTGTTAAAGTTAGCAACACGGTTGTTAAGTGAATCCGGCTTCCCCATTGACTTTGCTTGACAGACGGTCGCAACAGGTGTTCACATGACCCCAAGACCTTGCAACCGTCATGAATGTATGAATGAGTGAGTCGGTTGCCAAGCGTCCAAATTTTGTTCACATGACCATGAGGATGCTGCAACGGTTGTAAGTGTGAAAATAGTCATAAGTCATTTTTTTTCAGCGCTATTGTAAGTCCGAGCAATTTGTCACTAAATGAACTGTTATAAGTCAAGGACTAACTGTAATTCTCAGTTGACACACACACACACACACATACACACACACACACACAGAGAGAGAGAGAGAGAGAGAGAGAGAGAGAGAGAGAGAGAGAGAGAGAGAGAGAGAGAGAGAATTTAAAAACCATTGTGTTAGAGACTTTTCAAAAGAGATATAGATGATATGTATTCCATCAATAAACAGATGGTCCTCACCCTAACAGTTGTTCTGTTTGGTGACTTCAAAACTACAACTATGCTGAAAAAGTAACTTTACAACCAGTCCTTTCACTAACAACCCTCATAGCATCCTCACGGTCATGTGATCGCAATTCAGGCACTTTACAACTGATCTCTCGCTTAACAACCATGAATGAGTCACATAACGACCACAATGGGCGTAGGGTCATAAGTCTGCTGCAGTCTGCTGCATGATGCTTTGCTTAATGACCACATTGCTTAGTGACCAAGCAGCCAGTCCCATTTTGGGTTGTTAAGTGAGGACTAGCTATATATAATTCACATATTCCTACAAGTAAGCAATATTCATCCGAAATATAGTTGTGCATATTACCATCAATTTGTAACCGTGTTCCAAAAATCTTTCTACGAAATGGCCGATGACTGTTTAGTACAGGTGGGCCTCATTTATTTATTTATTTATTTATGAGACTTATATACCGTTTTAAGTGCAAGCACTCTCTAAGCGGTGTACACCAGTAAGCAATGTATATATATATTTACATTGCCCCCAACAATCTGGGTCCTCATTTTACCTACCCCGGAAGGATGGAAGGCTGAGTCAACCTTGAGCCGGTGAGATTTGAACCGCTGACCTGCTGAACACAGTCAGCTAAAGTGGCCTGCAGTACTGCACTCTAACTGCTGCGCCACCTCATCTTGCAACAGTTCATTTAGTGAGTGTTCAAAGTTGCAACATCACTGAAAAAAGTGACTTGCGACTGCTTTTCACACTTACAACTGTTGCAGCGTGCCCACGGTTACATGATCAAAAGTTGGGTGCTTGGCAAGTGATTGCAGTGGCACGGGATCATGTGATCCCCTTTTGCGACCTTCTGATAAGGAAAGGCAATGGAGAAGGCGGATTCACTTAACAACTGTGTTACTAATTTAATAACCACAGCGATTCACTTAACAGCGGTGGCAAGAAAGGTCGTAAAACGGGGCAAGATTTACTTAACAGCTGTCTCACTTAGCATCATAAGTTTTGGGCTCAGTTGTGATCCTAGGTCGAGGACTACCTGTATGGAGAAGAGAGAAATACAGAACCTGCGAAAAGGTTAGTGGGGTAAAACAGATTAGGAATCATTAAACAAAAAAAAAAAAAAAAACCTTTGTATCCTGGTACATTTACAGTATGTTTTTTTTATCATTTAATATCTGTGGCCTGGATTCTAATCTCTGATCAGGGTCTAAACATACACTCTTTTGTTTGTTTTTTTCCTTCCCTCTCAGGTGGTATCAAGTGTCCTGTGTGCAATTTTGTGTACGGCACAAAATGGGAATTCAACAGACACCTCAAAAACAAACACGGACTTAAAATAATGGAGCAGGATGCGGAAGGCAAGTGGGAGGTAAATGCAAGCAGCAACAGCTGTCTAAAATATCGCCTTTTCCCTGAAACGTTATGGGGAATCGAGGAAAAATTGGAGCAACATTGTCCTATAAAATGAATTTATAGGACAATATATATATATATATATATATATATATATATATATATATATGTTTTCTGAGGTTTTCTGAGGTTTTCACGGATGTTTGTATATAGGTCTTTGGTTATTCGGGTTTTCTCCCACGTCAAATTGGAAGTGTCTTGGCGACGTTTCAATGAAGTCCCATTCGTCATCTTCAGGCTGGTATTTTCGGCTTCGTGCTTCTAGGTGTGGGCTTGGGTTTGCTTTAACTGCCAGTGTGGGTATGAACTGATTGGGTGAGAGCCTTTAAAGCAAACCCAAGCCCACACCGATGATGAGGCACGACCACAAACCAGAAGCCAGACCACAGCTGCATCATTAGCCACTTTAAACCCCTCCAATCCATACATGAAGCAAACTGACACCCACCATGAAGATGAGGCACGACCACGAACGTGAAGCCAAACTATAGCAATGCAGCTCAGCATCTCACATCCCCCTGCAACTCAGACTAACCTGAGCACAACAAAGGCCCCACCCAAACAGAACTCTCCCCCATCGAATCAGAGCACAGCCAACCCCCCATCCAATCAGAGCACAGCCAAGCTCCTAACCAATCAGAATACACCTCCACCCAATCAGAACACAGCCAGGCTCTCACCCAATCAGTTCATACCCCCACAGGCAGTTAAAAGGAAGAAACAGCTATGATCACACATTGCTTCTAGAAGCACGAAGCCGAAAACACCAGCCTGAAGATGACGAATGAGACTTGGTCGCAACATTGCCAAGACACTTCCAATTTGATGCGGGAGAAAACCCGAATAACCAAAGACCTACATATATAATATGTTGGATCCTTTTAATTTTATATATATATGTAGGTCTTTGGTTATTAGAAGCAAGAAGCCGAAAACACCAGCCTGAAGATGACGAATGAGACTTCATCGAAACGCCGCCAAGACACTTCCAATTTGACGTGGGAGAAAACCCAAATAATCAAAGACCTACATATTATATATACATACATACCTACATACATACCTACATACATATATATACATATATATGTTTTCTGAGGTTTTCGCGGGTGTTTGTATGTAGGTCTTTGGTTGTTCGGGTTTTCTCCCGCGTAAAATTGGAAGTGGCAAGACACTTCCAATTTTACGTGGGAGAAAACCCGAACAACCAAAGACCTACATACATACATACATACATACATACATACATACATACATACATAAAACAATCCAAACACCAGGATAATACTAAAAACAAAACGGTTTAATTATCCTGCTTCTATATTTTTGCAATATCCTGCTTCTATATTTTTTTATGCAGGCAGGGTTACCCAGTGCAAATGAATTGTTCAATGTCATTTATTGCTTTATAATGAAGCCTCTTATGAGGCTGAAATTACACATGAGGAATTGGTGGCCATAGCAACAACATGTGGCTAACATCCATCACAACTCCCAACATCAGCCCAGGCATTTCGGTCTCCAAGCTGAAACCTGAGCCAGAAGATACACTTTTTGAATGAGTGTTGGGACACTCAGTTCAAGTCGCATTTCTATACAGGTAGTTTTCGACTTACGACCACAAACATTTTTGTTGCTTAAGCAAGATCGTTAAGTGAATTTTGCCATTTTACAACTGTTCTTGCCACAGTTGTTAAGGAGATCCCTGCAGTTGTTAAGTTAGTAACACGGATGTTAAGTGAACCTGACTTCCCTGTTGAGTTTGCTTGTCAGAAGCTCGTCAAAAGTGGTCCACATGATCACAGGACACTGAAACTGTCATAAATACACGCCAGGTGTCCAAATTTTGATCACGTGATCACGGGGATGTTGCACCAGATAGCAAAGTTTAAGGCAGGGATAGCTGGCTCAGGAATTCTGGGAGTTGCAGTCCACAGGTCATAAAGGGGCCTTAGTTGGCCACCCTTGATTTAAGGGAAAGGTCTAGGAACTTTAGTATTTTTGTTTATTCCTCTTTTTTTAGAATTCTAATGGTATTTTTTAACCAGTAATCAATATGGGAAGTAAAGTATTTGTTGTTGTTGGTTGCAAAGTCATGTCCAACCCATCGCGACCCCATGGACAATGTTCCTCCAGGTCTTCCTGTCCTCTTCTGGAGTCCATTTAAGCTCACACCTACTGCTTCAGTGACTCCATCCAGCCATCTCATTCTCTGTCGTCCCCTTCTTCTATTGTCCTCAATCTTTCCCAGCATTAGGCTCTTCTCCAGCGAGTCCTTCCTTCTCATTAGGTGGCCAAAGTACTTGAGTTTCAATTTCAGGATCTGGCCTTCTAAAGAGCAGTCAGGGCTGATCTCCTCTAGGACTGACCGGTTTGATCACTTTGCAGTCCAGGGGACTCGCAGGAGTTTTCTCCAGCACCATAGTTCAAAGGCCTCAATTCTTTGGCGCTCAGCCTTTGTTATGGTCCAACTTTCACAGCCATACACTGCAAATGGGAAAACCATGGCCTTGACTATACACACTTTTTTGGGCAGGGTGACATCTCTGCTTTTTAGTGTGCTGTCTAGATTTGCCATAGCTTTCCTCCCCAGCAGCAAGCGTCTTTTAATTTCTTGGCTGCAGTCCCCATCTGTGGTGATCATGGAGCCCAGGAAGGCAGGCCATAATACCATAAAATCCTTTAGGTTAGTTCTGTTCCTCTCCAGTTTTTCCTTGACAGAATGTCCCCTTTAATCCATTACGTTTTATTCAATATATTCACCACAGAAGTTCCACTCTTACTGGGAGTTGACCCCAATGTAGAACATTATCTCAATGTCATTATGTAGAGATCAGCACTGTACAAATGCATTTATGGGAAGTTTCTTTAGGCTTTAGACCCTCTAAAGGTGGACCTCCAAGCTTTATTTCAATAGCTATTATACTGGGGATAAAGATAGAACGGAAGTAAGAAATGCGTTTATGTCCAAATTCAGTTCACAAATGAATGTGTCTACAGCTAGTCCTCAACTTACAAATATTCATTTAACAAGCGTTTAAAATTACAACGGCACTGAAAAAGTTCTTATATTTATAACCTATCTTTGCACTTTGTCACAACATTCCCACAGTCACAGAATCCAAATTTGGTCATTTGGCAATGGGCATGTATTTAGGACAGTCCCAGTGTGCCAGGATCATGTGATCGCCCTTCACAAACTTTTGACAAGTAAAGTCAATGGAGGAGGGGGATTCACTTTACGACCGTGTCATTAACTTAACAGCCTGCTGGCTTCTGACAAGTCAAGTCAATAGGGGGGAACTGGATTCGTTTAACCACTGTGTGATTCACTTAACAATTGTAGTGATTCGCTTAATAACCATGGCAAAAAAAAGTCACAAGACCAGGCATGTCTCTCTTAACGACAGACTTACTTAGTGATGGAAATTCTGGTCCCAATTTGGTCGTACCGATGTAGTGAAATATTAAATTGGAGGCTTGATGACAAAACAACTAAATCTTGGATTTTTAAAAAGGGCCTTGGGAATGTGTTAAAATTAATTAGTACAATAAAATTAGGGTGGCACGGTGGCTCAGCAGTTAACACACTGGGCTTGTCGCCTGAAGAGCTGACAGCCCAGTTTCACAGTCCAAGCGCCACACGATTTATTTATTTATTTATTTATTTCTAAAATTTATATGCCGCCCAGTCCCAAGGGACTCAGGGCGGCGTACAAAATTAAAACAATAATATGACAATAAAACAATAAAATAAATACATTCATACAGCATGTCCGATCATATCCCCCCCCCCCGGGGACATCAGCCCCAGGCCTGCCGGAACAGGAGAGTTTTAATGGCTTTCCTAAAGGCCGGCAGGGTGGGAGTAGTTCGAACCTCGGGGGGAAGTTGATTCCACCAGGTCGGAGCCACCACAGAAAAGGCCCTTCCCCGAGGGCCCGCCAGCCGACATTGTCTGGCCGACGGGACCTGAAGGAGGCCCAATCTGTGGGACCTCACCAGTCTCTGGGAACTGTGCGGCAGTATGCGGTCCTGTAAGTAACCTGGCCGTATGCCATGAAGGGCTTTAAAGGTGATAACGATGGGGTGAGTTTCCGTCCTCACCCAGCTCCTGCCAATCTAGAAGTTCAAAAGGATGTAAGCACAAGTAGATTAATAGGTACCATTTCAGTGGGGAGGTAACAGTGCCCCACGATGTCATGCTGGCCACATGACCGCAGAAACATCTTCGGACAGTATTTGCTTAATGGCCTTGAAAAGGAGATGAGCACCGCCCTTATAGCGAGAAGCAGAGTAAAATTCACAGGGTCTTAAATTTTTATAAAATGTTTTATAGATGGTACCTTGATCCCCAAAAGATGTCCCGTATGTACCCTAATTTACAGCCCAAATGTTGGAGATGTGGTTGTATGGACGCAACCTATTATCATATTTGGTGGTCTTGTAGAAATATAAAGGCTTTTTGGATAAAGATTTGGTGGAATATTCAAAAAAAATTTAATAGAAGGATAAAATTCACACCACAACTATTTTTGTTAGGTATTATTGAAGATTGTGATAGTAAAGAGATTATTTTAATGTTGAATTTTATTACGGCAGCAAGGTTATTGATTGGGCAATATTGGAGAAAAGACTCCTTGCCTACTTTAGAGGAATGGTTTTTTAAAGTTTCTTATTTATCAGAAATGGCAAAAATATCGGCTTATTTGAAAGACCATTCACAAGAGAGATATAATTCAGTATGGAAAAGATGGGTAAATTTTGTTCGGAATAAATATGGGATTAGAAAGTATTATTTAGCTTTTGAATAACTTATTGTGTAAAGTTGTTATGGTTAGATTTGTTGATTTTATTGTAATGGAATTAAAGGGGTTCTTAAATTTTTTTAGGATTTATGTATAATTGATTGATGTTTATTTAATTTTTTATGTTCTTTTTTTGTTGTTTTTAGCTCTGTATTCAGCTCTGGGAAGGGGGGAGGGTTAATGGGAGAGGGAGGGAGAGAGGTGGGGTGGGATTTTATTGTAAAATATTTATAAAAATTTCAATAAAATTCACAGGTCTTCTTTACCTTTTTTTTACAATAAAGTTATGCAGTGCAATCTTCTTAGACATATTTATTTAGAAAGAAGCCCCTTGCATTTGATGGAGATTATTAATGGGGGTTATAAGACTGCAGTCTCATTTGTCTCCTTGAAAAAATGATGGGAAAAACTGTGAAGATAAGTAGAAATCTTAATGACTCGTGTTAAACTTAAAAATTAGAACCTCAACTGTTGGTGTTTTTTAGGCAAAGTCTGGATTGAAAGTAATGCGATAAGTAACAGTTTTCTTCTGATCAAAAGAATTACTTTCATGCCTATAATCCTGCTGATTTTTTTTATGCACATATCCTTATGCACCCACTAGTAAAATTAATGAGATTGATAATGATGAGAGATAGGATTTATTTGATAAGAATCTCCCAGTTGTGCAACTGGCTTGTATTTGACCTTGACAAGTCATTTCCAGATTACTTTTCTGGTAAAAAAATAAATAAAATAAAATGTTCTTTTGTTGCTGAATCTTTGCTTCCTTCATACATCAAAAGATTCTAACTTGTTTCATTGTCGAGAGCCATTTTGTGATGCTATTCTGTTCAAAAAGATATACTTAAGCTTGAACTGTAAGTAAGTATTTTGGCAGTTCTGTAATATACTGGTGCCTCTTCACTTCATTTCTTTTCCAACTGCTTTCTGTTTTTCAGCAAACTACAGAAGTTTCTGAAGAATCCTCTACGCAATACCTTCATATCACCGAAGCTGGAGATCTGCAAGGCACTGAAGCTGCTGTTGCCGCTCTGCAGGACCTAAGATATACCTCAGAGAATGGTAAAATGCTCTTTGTTGTTGTTGTTGTTAGTTGCAAAGTCGTGTCCAACCCATCGCGACCCCATGGACAACGTTCCTCCAGGCCTTCCTGTCCTCCACCATCTTCTGGAGTCCATTTAAGCTCAGGCCTGCTGCTTCAGTGACTCCATCCAGCCACCTCATTCTCTGTCGTCCCCTTCTTCTATTGCCCTCCATCTTTCCCAGCGTTAGGCCCTTCTCTAGTGAGTCCTTCCTTCTCATTAGGTGGCCAAAGTACTTGAGTTTCAACTTCAGGATCTGGCCTTCTAAAGAGCAGTCAGGGTTGAGCTCTAGGACTGACCGGTTGGATCGCCTTGCAGTCCAGGGGACTCGCAGGAGTCTTCTCCAGCACCATAGTTGAAAAAATGGTGTTTAATTGATGTTTCAGCCAGCTCGGTCTAGTGCAGGGGTTCTCAACCTTGGCAACTATAAGACTTGTGGACTTCAACTCCCAGAATTCCTCAGCCAGCTTTTGCTGGCTGAGGAATTCTGGGAGTTGAAGTCCACAAGTCTTAAAGTTGCCAAGGCTGAGAACCCCTGGTCTAGTGGTTAAGGCACCAGGCTAGAAACCAGGAAACTCCGAGCTCTAGTCTTGCATTAGGCACAAAAACCCAATGGGTGACTTTGGGCCAATTACCAGGAGACAGTGAATTCTAGTCCTGCCTTAAGCATGGAAGCTGGCTGGGTGACTTTGGGCCAATCACTAGGAGATGGAGCATTCTAGTCCTGCCTTCGCATGAAAGCCGGCTGGGTGACTTTGGGGCAAGCTGTCAGTTAACACATTTGAAAGATAAGAAGAAAAGACAGCATGAGCATTCAACTAATATTAAAGATGAAATAACTTGAAGAGGAAATTTGCACCCGATGCTGGGAGGAAATTGGAATAAAATGCAATAAAGCCCCCATGAAGGAGAAAATAAGCATGAAAGGAGGGTGGTGAGAAGTTGGAAGTCAGAAGACCGGAGGGATGTTTGGCATTACAGGTAGTCCTTGACTTATTACCCTTATTACCCTTGCTAGGCAAGGTGGTTCTTAAGTGAATCACGCCCAATTATACGACTGTTTTTGTCAGGGCTGGTAAGCAAATCACTGCAGTTCTTGAGCCGTGGTTAAATGAATCCATCTTCCCCCATTGACCATGCTTGTTGGAAGCTGGTTGGGAGGTTCTCAGTGGCGTTCACATGTGCCCAGCATACTGCAGCCACAGTAAATTCATGCTGGTTGCCCAACACCTGAAATTCGATCACGTGGCTGTGGGGATGTGAGAATCATAAGTGTGAGGATCGGTTAGAAGTCCCTTTTTTCAATGCCATTGTAACTTGCTAAACAAAATGCTTGTAAATCAAGGGCTACCTTTACTGTGTAGAGTGGTTGTTTAGAGCAGTGATTCTCAACCTTTTTAATGCCACGACCCCCAACCGATCGTTAAGTCGAGGACTAAACCAGTTGTAAGTCGAGGACTAAACCAGTCGTAAGTCGAGGACTATCCAACCGGTCGTAAGCCGAGGACTTTCCCTGCCCGGGAGTGCCGCGCATGCGTGGTGCCGCCCCCTGTGCTGGCAAAGGCATAGCTGGCAAGCGGCAGAGACGGAGCAGGCCGACCACCGGCTGGGCCACTAGCTGGCCCAGCCCATGGGAGGTAAGGCACCCGCCGGAAAAGGGGGAAAAAAATGGCAGACAGCCTTGCTTGGCGACCCCCGTGAAATGGTCGATCGACCCCAAATGGGGTCGCGACCCATAGGTTGAGAACCGCTGGTTTAGAGGATGCAGTGCGGGAAGGTGAGTCAGGGGAATGGTGGTCACAATGCCACAAAGTTTGCATCATCCCCATCGTGTTAATCTTAATGCTTCTCCCCCATAAGGAGGAAGGCTGGATGCCACAGCTGTCAACATCCTTCAGCAAATCATAGAGCTGGGATCAGAGTCCCATGACGGCGCTGCTCTAGCTTCTGTGGTTGCCATGGCCCCAGGAACCGTCACTGTGGTGAAACAGGTAACTTTTCATTCCCAGTTGAATTCTCTCTCTTTGTCTGTCTGTCTGTCTGTCTGTCTCTCTCTCTCTCTCTCTCTCTCTCTCTCCCCCCATCAAAGTGATAGTTGGTCTCCAGCTGCTGTGAGAATTGCCTCTCCTCCTCTCTCAGCTGCTGTCCTTACCAGCCTTCTCTGTGTGATTCCTCTCTTTGTGTAAATATTTCTTCTTTCCTTCAATTGGACTGGCTACACGAGCTTTGCTGAATTGTTCAAATGCAGCCACTAAGGAAGATGAATAAATAAATATATACACACAGGCATACAATACTGCTGTTTGAATCAACCTAGAAACAAGTATCGGTAGCCCTAGATTTAGCAACAGTTCATTTAGTGATGGTTCAAAGTTACAACAGCATTAAAAAAAAAAAAAGTGACGTGCCCATTTTTCACACTTGCAACTGTTGCAGCATCCCCGTGGTCACGTGATCAAAATTGAGACGCTTGGCGACGGACTCATATTTATAACAGTTGTGGTGTCCCTGCGGTCCTGTGGTCACCTTTTGCAACCTTTTGACAAGCAAAGTCACTGCGGAAGCCAGATTCACTTAACAATCATGTTACTGACTTAACAACCGCAGGGACTCATTTAACATCTGGGGCAAGAAAGGTTGTAAAATGGGGCAAAATTCACTTAACAACTGTCTCCCTTAGCAACAGAAATCTGGGTGTCATGCCTCTGTGGGAGCCTGAATCTGCGGAGGAAAATGAGCTGAAACAGGATCCTATGGAGGTCGAGGGAGAGGTGTCTGTGGCTTCAGAGGAATGTGGGGAAGAGCAGGCCGAGGCAGGCCAGGGCCCTTCAGGAGTGGGACAGGAGGAACAGGAGAGGCAGAGTTCAGGCGATGAGCAAGGGCCACCCCCACCTGATCCTAGAGCACTGAGAGTGGAGAGAAGGAGGGAACAATGCAGGCAGGCTCAACTACTAGGGAGGAGAGCATCCCACCCCCCTCCACAAGGTATATCTGGAGACTTAAGCATCCCATCCCCCTCCACAAGGCACACCTGGAGAGATTTAAGGAGACGCTGTGGGGAGGGGCATTTGTTGAGAACAAACGTTGATTCTTTGCAGTTTTGTGTGTGTTGTTGCTGATCTCTTGTTCTGTGACTTCTGCTTGGAAACCCGGAAACTCTGGCCATTGGACTGGCTGACAATGTTGCTTGGATGTTTCAAGAATTCAGACTGTATGTTGGATTCCCTTTTGAAACTGCTCAGGCAAGCATGTATTCACACAGACTCATTAGGTTTATGATGTATGTGTCATTCTTTCTTATCTCCATGGCCTTGAGCAAATTCCTCTCCTAATCAGACTGTACATGAAACTACTTGCAACCAGAGGTGTATGTGTCTTCCTGTGTTTGGAGGCTTGCCAGAAACGTGGGAGCATTTGGGGAGAATTTGGAGCAATTAAAGGGCGGTTTGAATTGCCAGCTGACTGCATTGCCTCGGTGCTGTGCCCTGGGTCATCACACTGGGCCTCAATTATAGTCAATACATGACTAGCTGTATTGCTGAAAAAGATCTGTGCCCTACAGCACTTGCCCATCAGGCTTAACGAGGAAGCCCATCTCCAATTAATTGAAGGCATCATGGTTGAGGAAGACCTACCTGATCTGTTAAAACTGCAGAAGTAGTTCTCAACTTCCAACCAATCATTTAGTGACCTTTTGAAATTACCACCAACCCCCAAAATGGGGACTTACAAAGTGGATCTAAAGTTCCGACGGTTCCCCCTCAATCATGTTTTACTTAATTTCCCTTAATTCACATATGATGGGTTTGCTAACAATCACAATGTTGGTTTAATGACTGCTACGTTTACTTTACACCATGTTCGTTTAATGACGCCCGCAAAAAGTTCATAAAATCAGGTTGGTCACCAAATAACGACCATCACAACATACAGCCATAATGAGCAAGCTCTGTGATGGTTGTATTTCGAGGACTACCTGTATCATCAGAAAGTGGGCCTTTCACATAAACGTTAAAAAAGGTTTTCCCCATCCCCTGAAGGCAGGACAAGCATTAACGGAGGGAAACGAATCAAGGAGAGAAGCAACCTAGAAATAAGGAGGAATTTCCTGACAGAACTATTAACCAGTGGAACGGCTTGTGGGTGCTCCAGCACTGGAGGTTTTTAAAAAGAGATCATTTTATTGTCTGAAATGGTATAAGTTTTGCTGCCTGAGCAAGGGGGTTAGACTAGAAGACCTTCAGGGTCCCTTCCAACTCTGTTATTCAGTTATACACTTGCATTTCCTGCTTGCAGAGAAGTTTAAAAAAAAGCTTTCATCACTCATATTTTTTTTAAAAAAAACATTATAGTTTCCATATAAACTACACTTTTGAATAATGTATGTATTTGTAGATCCCACAAGCCTGCGGCAATACTGTAAATGGACCATTCTATAAAACACTGGTGTTACTTTGGGTTAGACCATTTTGAAAAAGGCCGTTCCATGAATTGTCAAATCGCCTCCTCTGCTTTTATGACTTCAAACCATATATTGGTGTTGTTACGCTTATGCATTTTTAAGATTTATTTTAATGTTAGTTAAAATGATCAATTATATGGTCGGTTTATAAGTGGAGCGTCTACAAGTCAAGTTTACAACATATAATAATAATAATAATAATAATAATAATAATAATAATAATAATAATAATAATAATATAAAGGCAATCAACACCTGGGCAATCCCAGTCATTAGATACACAGCTGGAATAGTGGACTGGACTCAAGCAGAACTAAAAGCAATGGATAGGCAGACCAGAAAAATAATGACAATGAATCACGCCCTTCATCCACGCAGTGACATTGATAGACTTTATCTACCAAGGCAAATAGGTGGGCGTGGAATGCTACAAGTACATCAGATGGTTGAAGAAGAAAAAATGGCTTTGGAAGAATATCTGAAGAACAATGATGAAGATGCACTGAAATTAGTATATCAGGAAGGCTTACTAACTACTGGAGAGACCAAACTGGCCTACAAGAAAGACCAAATGAAGAACAGAATAGAGGCATGGGAAGACAAAGCACTACATGGCCAATACATGAAAAAAATAGCTGGGAAAGCAGATAATAATAAAACCTGGCAATGGCTAAGAGCAGGAAAATTGAAGAAAGAGACCGAGGGACTAATTCTGGCTGCACAAGACCAAGCCTTAAGGACAAATGCATACAAAGTCAAAATTGAGAAGACAGCAACAGACAGTAAGTGCCGCCTATGCAAAGAAGCTGAAGAAACAGTGGACCACTTGGTAAGCTGTTGCAAGAAGATTGCACAGACTGATTACAAGCAGCGGCATGACAAAGTAGCAACAATGGTGCATTGGAAGATCTGCAAAAAATATCATTTGCCTGTAAGCAAAAACTGGTGGGATCATAAAATAGAGAAAGTCATAGAAAATGATAAAATTAAACTGCTCTGGGACTTCAGAATTCAAACAGACAAGCACCTGCAACATAACACCCCAGACTTAACAATTGTCGATAAGAAAGACAAAAAAGTCTGGATAGTGGACGTGGCAGTGCCTGGAGATAGCAGAATAGAAGAGAAAGAACTGGAGAAGATAACAAAATACAAAGACCTACAAATAGAAATAGAAAGACTGTGGCAAAAGCAAGCAAGGGTAGTACCAATAGTCATAGGCTCCTTGGGTGCAATCCCAAAACAACTGGAGCACCACTTGAACACCATTGGCATTGACAAATTTGCTATTAGTCAATTGCAAAAGGCGGCCTTATTAGGAACTGCTTCCATCCTGCGACGATACCTGTAATACCATCAAACATCCACATCTGCCTATCCCAGGTCCTGGGTAAGGACTCGATAGGTAGACAAAATACCAAATCCAGTCTGAACATCTGGCTGACTGTGCGATGATTGAGAATAATAATAATAATAATAATACCCCCAGTGAGTGAAAACTGAAGGAATCAAGATGCCCCACGAAAATAACATTAAGAGTCTGGATGAGGAAGAGTACTACAAATACTTGGGTATTCTTCAAGCTGACAACATCAAGCACACTGAAGTCAAGAAAAAGATTAGAGGTGAATACATCAAGAGAGTGAAGAAGATCTTAAAGTCCAAACTCAATGGAGGAAATACCATAAAGGCAATCAACACCTGGGCAATCCCAGTCATTAGGTACACAGCTGGAATAGTGGACTGGACTCAAGCAGAACTAAAAGCAATGGATAGGCAGACCAGAAAAATAATGACAATGAATCATGCCCTTCATCCACGCAGTGACATTGATAGACTTTATCTACCAAGGCAAATAGGTGGGCGTGGAATGCTACAAGTACATCAGATGGTTGAAGAAGAAAAAATGGCTTTGGAAGAATATCTGAAGAACAATGATGAAGATGCACTGAAATTAGTATATCAGGAAGGCTTACTACTACTGGAGAGACCAAACTGGCCTACAAGAAAGACCAAATGAAGAACAGAATAGAGGCATGGGAAGACAAAGCACTACATGGCCAATACATGAAAAAAATAGCTGGGAAAGCAGATAATAATAAAACCTGGCAATGGCTAAGAGCAGGAAAATTGAAGAAAGAGACCGAGGGACTAATTCTGGCTGCACAAGACCAAGCCTTAAGGACAAATGCATACAAAGTCAAAATTGAGAAGACAGCAACAGACAGTAAGTGCCGCCTATGCAAAGAAGCTGAAGAAACAGTGGACCACTTGGTAAGCTGTTGCAAGAAGATTGCACAGACTGATTACAAGCAGCGGCATGACAAAGTAGCAACAATGGTGCATTGGAAGATCTGCAAAAAATATCATTTGCCTGTAAGCAAAAACTGGTGGGATCATAAAATAGAGAAAGTCATAGAAAATGATAAAATTAAACTGCTCTGGGACTTCAGAATTCAAACAGACAAGCACCTGCAACATAACACCCCAGACTTAACAATTGTCGATAAGAAAGACAAAAAAGTCTGG